AACCTTGACCCTGATGCACGTACTGTGATGGGATTACTGACGCCAGTGAGCTTCCCACAGCCTGGAGGTCAAAGAGGCAGAAGAATTAAGAAAGCATGTATGCCTACATACCTAAGAGGCCACACAGACACGCATGCACTCAGGTGTTTTCTCTATCATCTATATCATCTTTAACTATTTTTCTTTTATAATTTATCTGAAATATGGCATTTCATTTGGTTTGGTTCAGATTGTTCAGTTCAACTGTTTTCACTGTAGAGGTTTAAATTTTTTTACACTAAGAAAATGTATTATTTGTACCATTATCTCAGATAAATGCGTAGATAAATATTTTGTGTAGTCATCTTCTGTTGTCTTGTTTTCATTCGTGATTCTCAACAATGCGATCTTGTGTTTGCTTTTTGAAATCTGTAATACACAAAAACTGGTTCACCGACTGACTTTGCGGCATCATTTTTTTTATTGTTGTTTTACTGTCCTGGTTTTTACCCAGTACTCAAAAAGTGAGCATTATTTTTTTTTTTTTTATAATTCTCTCTCTTGGTTCATTTTCAAATGTAAAACTATAATAAAACGCAAATTAGCTAAGGGCTAAACTGTAACTGCAGTCTTTTTTGTTAACTCATCAGTTTATATGTGTGGGGTTTTTGTAAAATCATCAGTTTAAGCTAACACATTACACACAAATGCAATCTATTATTCATTCCATTTTTCTAGGCCAGTTTTTCTCAATTTATGCAATAATTTGAGATCAGAGCAAAGTGGAAATGTTAACAACATGCTACAGAGTTTTGACCAGCGATGATCCTAGTGTAATCATTAATTCTGTTCTGTGCAACTGTTGTCAAATTAATTAAATGCTGCAATGATATATGGTAATACATTTTTAATTGGGTAACAATGACCACATACAAACACCCACAATCATTTCCATATATACCAAGTTTCTGCATGCAGGAGTGGAGTCTGGTTTCAAGTAGCAGGACTCTCTGTCGCAGCTCCTCATAATCGTAGGCCCCCATCTCCTCTTGGATAGCCATAAGCACCAAGGACAGATTCCTTACTTCCTCCCGAAGACGCAGGATCATCTTGGCATCAGTCTTGTACTGTTCCAGCACTGGCAACAGGGGGAGCAGCTGGGTCACCTTGTCTTTTAACTCCTGTGATAGTTATCACCGAAAAGGGGGAAGAGGATTACACCCTTAGAGAATAGTCAAGATAGGGGACGCAACTGCCCTGTGATAGTCAGCAAATGAGAGTGAGTGCAATCTTCTCTCGGTGTTTGTGGTTCATAAAGCTTATGTCTCCATTAGGTTCTGGTTTATCTGTTCAAAACTATAGACCTTTGGTTTTTAATGAGATTTACAACGTCTATTCTTAGTATTTTATGTCAATACCCTGAAATTAGATGTCCTTTTATCTTCTTTCAAGGACAAAAGGAATATTTTATCTATTTAAAAAGCAAATATTTTGTTTTTCCATGTCTGTAAATACAGTTTTACTTCCTTTGAAAATATTTTGGATTGGAAAGCCACCTATGTGAGAAACACAATTCAAATTGGCCAAACGCCTGTGATCTGTTTTGGGTGATGAAACTTCACCTACTTGCTGCAGTTGCAGAGCTAGTTGTAAATAAACTTGGACTGTGACTCATCGGGTGTTTAGAAGTTAAAAGAACAACATGTCCTTAGGTAGGAGTACAGGAAGCTGCATGAGAACCTGGCTGCCTACGTGGAGAGCAGTGGGCTCAAGAGAGAAATGGGCGTATCAATAAAGTGTGGCCGCCACAGGAGGGGCTGTTTCCTCCTTGTTAAGGTTTATCGTAAATCTGGTGATGGAGCAGCTCTCAGCCCCGTGGCGCCACATCATAAATCTCATTTTCACTTTTTCAAGAAGAGAAAATTCACTCTCGTTAATCTCCCGCACTCTGCCATCGGCAACTTTAAGCTGCACGCATTCATCAGCCAACCTGGTCTGGACAAATCCAGCTTTTTCCCCTCTTTGTTGAATTAAGATAGATCAGAAGATATAACTCATTTCGTTCTGCATATTTTAGTCGTCTCAGGCAGTGCTGATGAATTGGTTAATTTTATAAACATCTTCATTACCTTCTTTGGAATGGCTTTCATAAAACACACTGAAAGCAAAACACAGGCATTCGTGCTTGTCCTTGTGCTGCAGTATGGACCCAGCGGTAAAGCACACTTATCATTTATCAAACCATCTTTTAATCAAACTATTTTATGGTCCATCTAATATCTGTAAGGGTGTGAGAAATGTTAAAAAACCCCAGTAGGACAGCCTGCTGACAGGAAGACAAAAAGGCTTACTAATAATGGCAGCTAAGCCCTAGCTTGTAGACAGATAAGGTAGAGATAAATGTGAATGTATGTGCCTGTTATCTAAAGGCAGACAGCAGAATGTTAAGTATATCAAGTAGTAAGCTCACTGAAGATAGAGAACAAAGGGATACAAAGAGACAAATGCAACCCCCCCCCCAAAAAAAACCCCCAAAAAAACAAAAAAACAAAACAAAACAAAAACCTCCATTCTTTTTCTAGGTCCAAGAATTTAATCACTCATGAGTGTGCGATTTACTTGGATTTCTCTGTGCATGACAAAAGAACTCATATAAGACTGGGAATGAATTTGTGTACCTATGTTTATGCTGCAGTGCATCGCGAGTCATACAAAATTTTATTGTCTGTGAAGAGCAAAAGAGATTGCAATGCATAAGTTTGGCGAGCAGTGCCTGCATTCACTTGACAATAATATACACACATATAAACACCAACGCACACACTGTACATGAGGAGACACAGAGCCAATTACCTGAAAGCCCTTTGGATTGAGGCTGCGGGGATTTTCAGAGGCCACCTTCAGCTTTCCATCTACCACTTTCATTAGACTCTCTGTGTTTCTGACATACTGTAGATCCCTGTACGTCCTTAGGTCCAGCACCTCCATTGACTGGCTGATGTTCTGAACCTGCGCCACAAAAACAAACCCACAATGACAATAATGATCGCGGGTTATCTTAGAGGAGGGGTTAGGGTTTTTTTTTTCTCATTTTACACCTCAATCACAGATCATTTATTGTAAGTTTCATTTTTACAGTTGTTCATTATTTAGTTTAAATTGCAGTAAATGAGTCAGGCAAGAAAAAAAAAATCCTGCTGTAATCCTGCCTTCGTAGTTTGGGGTTGGCATGGGTTTTCCAGATACACAGGTGGTATGAACTGAAAACTTTGTGGCCTCAGTTGTGAATGTGAAATGTTTATAAACTTGTCCTTTACTTGTCTGTAGGCATCTTTTTTGTAGTACTCATGTGCAGATACTAAAAAAAACCCCAAAAAACTTCTGCTCCCATTTCGTTCATATTCCAAGTTAAAGCCAAAGAAGAATATGGAGGTGGCCCTGTTTTTGAATTTAAATATGAAGTTAAAGAAGTTAGTTGAAACTACATTGTAACGTTGGACCCAAGAAACATATGCTGGAGCGAATATGTTGACAGCAGAACTTTTATTTGATACTGTGGTTTTATTGACTGGGACACAGACACTCCCGCTCTCTCTCTGCTGTCACGTCCGCTCCCCCTCCGACTGTCACTGCCAACATATAAAGAGACACAATCACTGTCAGATCCCAGCACACCTGTTCACCCCGCCCCTGCGCCGCCCCGGGAGCTCACTGCGTCACCCCTCCTCTGCAGCTGGCCAGAGACCACACCCACGCCACACACATAATCTGTGCTGTTTCGTTCATAAGCTGGAAAAATTACTGAAATAAAGAATGGGCTTTAAAATGTACACTAATCACACTGAATTATAGAATTAGGCATACAACTCTCAGTTTAAATAATTATGATGACAGGAATATTCAACAGTGATGACAATATTATTTCTGTGGTTAAGAAATACAACTTCACAATCTATCAAATTTAAGAACATTCTTGAAGAGGTAGCTGCATGATTGTCACAGTCTACAATCAAGAAATGCCTTCACGATAGGGAATACAGAGGGTTTACAAAATGTTACAAAATTGGTACACACAAAAACAGGAAGGCTCGACTTGGCTTTATCAGAAAACATTTCAAAGAGCCTACAAAGCTCTGCAAAGAAAAACAAAATCTACCTACTGTCTGTCAAACATGGTGGAGGCAATGTTGTGACATGGGTATGCGTGCTGACTAGTGGAACCAGGGAACTAGTGTTTAATGATGATGTGACTGCTGATAAAAGTAATAGGATGTATTGCAAAATTTAAAGGGCTATACGCTCAGCTCAGATTCAACCAAAAGGTGCAAAATTGTCAGATAGCACTTCCTAATGCAAGACCCAAAGCATATTGGAAAAGCAACCCAGGAGTTTCTCTAGGTTAAGAAATAGGATATTCTTTACTGGCCAAATTATTCACCTGAAATCAACCCAACAGAGCTTGCTTTTCAGTTACACAAGACAAGCCTGATTGCAGAAAGACACATAAAGAAATGGCTAATGAAGGTGGCTGCAGTAAATGCCTAGCGGGGCATCTCAAGGGAGGGAATGTAGCTTTTCAGCTGAGCCTCAGAAAATGGGGGACTATGTACAGTTAATCTAATAAAACTAATCAAAATTAAAGCTGAATGTCTGTACTTTAATCACATTTTCACTATCTGGTCTATAATCCATGGCAATGGTGTGCAGAGGCAAAATTACATTAAAATGTGTCATTTTTCAAAAGAAGTGATACACTGGTAGGATTTATCTGTCTATAACTGCTTACTGCGTGATTTGTGGAGTTTAATACATTTAATGTGCTGCTAAACATTTTTTAATGTGCGTTTTGGCAATTTGAGCACCACAAGATCTTTTCCATTTCTTTTATTTATTTTCAAGGGAAGGCAGGCATTTCTACAGCTGAGGGTGTGTAAATCGCACATAAAAAAACACTACATGTCCGAAGAAAGTTATATATGCTTTTATTTACTGTCAATTAAAAAAAAATAAATACATATTAATAAAAATAAGTAATGAAAAAGAACGTTGGCAGCACAGATAAAGCATGAGGAGGTTAAAAAGCAGCACAGTCCTATAAAATCTGTCGAGGTAATAAACAAACAACGCAGCTATACATGACTTTCAACATGCAATGAAAGTCAACAAGTTTCACTCATATGAAAATGCTACAGCTATGAAGATAAGAATAGTAAGCTCATGATCATGACAGCGTGCAAAAGGTAATGGATGCCTATGAAATGTTACTAAACGACCTCGTGGAGGAGCAAACATGCTGTTAAGTAGGCGTTTATTGAACACTCAGTTTTGCACTATGTTTAATTTTTACTAAGTACTCAGCTTATTCACTTTTGACAGCCCACTCTGTTTCTGCATAACCAACCTACTGATTCATGCACCCCCTCATCTCCTGCACGATGCACTGAACTGGCCAGAAATCACTTGAACATTGATAAATATTACTGGGCTGTCGTGTATACTGGAGGCGTATGGGTACATATGTACAACTCCCCACAGCAACAGACGCCCACCCACAATGACATGCGCAATCAAAACTCCAAGCATCACTCCTAACATAAACAAAAAACAGACCAAGCTCTCAAAGGTCAGCGTTTGGCACAAAGTCTGCTTTGCACCAAATGCTTTGCTTGCCTACTCTCTGACAACCCACTCAATTACTTTGTGTCCCTTGTTTTCTACAACCAGTTCATTCCTCATGTGCTTCATGAACCGTTCTGGTTATATTTGGTCAGAAAATATATCCCTTCACTAATTAAAAGTTGCTTTACAGCACTACATGTGCATTAGATGGAAGAATGTGGAAGGGTAAAATGTTCCAGCAGGATGCAGCGTCACTACCCTCCAGGGCAGGTGACAGCTGGGACCACTCAGTCCTCTGAGTTGTGGCATTTCATGCTTACCTTTGGTCACATAGGATTCTCTCTACCCTCACCAGCTCAGATGAATCAGTCACAGGTGTTTCTGCTTCTTGTCCAGCGCGATGACTCACTTTGTAACAAATCCTAAAAACTGTCTTTATGTGTATGGCTGACTTTGGCCTCATATCACTTCTTTTTTTTTTTTTTTTTTTTTTTTTACCTCAACACAGTTACATAGAGAGGTTAAAAGAGTCCATGAGGTGTTTAAAAGTCTGTTGTGAGCACTCTTGCACAGTATTCTTCAGGTCAGCTCTGCATTAAATGGCATTTTGTCTGGCTTTACAGAAAGCTGAATAGAGATTTTGCACAAGGCTACTTTAAATTCTTTGAACAGAGGGGCAGTTTTGACATTGTTATTGTATCCTTGGCTTTCTTTGTCAGAGAGAGATTTTGTGGATCTAGTCCAATCAAAATTTCACCCGCATGCTCTGAGTTCAAAAGAGGATGCTTGGTGGGCATGGAACTATAATGTGCTTATACACAGAGAATAACACGTAGTCTTTAAACTAACGTCTTGTGTGCAGCTGAAACAACATTGACTCCAGGTGTCCTCATTAAGCTGGGCTGTGGACAGTAGTAGATGGGAGTGTTTGGTTCTAATAACTAGTGTCTTACATGTAGTGTGCTACAGACACAGTAGCATGAACATCCACACAGTATGCAATATACCATAATAGCAATATTTCCAGAGCTTGTAAAAGCTCAGTTGATACTGTGTGAGAAGTGTTGACTATTATTGTAGTTTCTAAATTCTTATTTTATATAATAAATTGGATTTAGTTTCAAGGGATCACATGTAATGCAATTAACCAATGCAAATAGTTCAGTTAAAATTTACAGGTGTATAACAGCCTATCAACAAATAACATTAAAGGTGTCACAAAGACAGTTATTATGGCTTATCTTAGTTAAAAACTGTTATAAAATGTGATTGTGATCAGTCTCTCACATCATTATGGAAGACATTTAGTTTGTTCTTTTTTTCTTTTTACAATGTTGCATAATTCCATTTGAGCATTTCACCCACCACAGCATTTCAATCAGGTCGATGTCTGGACTTTGACTTGACCACTGCAAAACGCTGATTCTTTCAGTTTTTAGTTGTTTTGTTGTAGATTTGCTGCTGGGTGTGTCTTGTTGCATGGACACATTTTGGCCAAGGTTTAGCTGTCAGACAGGTGGCCTTACATGAACGTTAATATTTAACATGCTAACTGATGCCTGTAGAGTCTGAAATGTAGCTCTCGGGTTTTTTGTGCCATTTCACTGAACATCACATTGGGTGAATTTGTTGTGACATCCACTCGAGGGAAGATTGGCAACTATCTTTTCCACTCATACATAATCTTTCTCATTGTAGAATAATGGACTTTAAATAGTTTAGAAAGAGCCTTAGAGCCATTCTCACCAATATTTGCTTCTTTGAGATCATTCCTTTGTCTTTTCTCCATGGCATTGTGTTAACACACACACCTGACCAGGAAACTACCTCTGCCGTTATAGAGTTGGCCACATTAGATGGTCAATTAATCAAGTGCATTTGATTAGAAGGACTTGTCTGCTACTTACCCTCTTAATTTCTATAGAAGCAATGTACTTAGTTTTTCAGAAGACTGCATTTATATATGATTGTATGACTCATTTGAATCACTAAGGGGAAAAAATGGCAAAGTACTTTAATATTTATTTTAATTTAATTAATCGCTTACTGTTAATCAATGCAGGCTGCTTTGTTACAACAGTGAAAAATAAAAATATAAAATTTCAGTGGAATTTAAATCTGGAGACGGGCAATAAACAAACTGACTTGATCAATCCATGCAACACTACTCCAGCCAGTGAGCAACAAGGGGGTGTTTGTACTTGTATGCAGGGCAGGAGGCCAGCGGGGGGAAAAGCTGACACCTTGCTTATACTGAACTCCAGGACATATTTGGAAACGATCAAAAAATAAAAGGTCAAAAGGGAAACCACTGAAAGAAACCACACTGGGATCTATGTCGGAAATGCTAATTATAATTTGTACAATGGCATGCCACTGAAGAAAAAAAATCTATAAGAAACTACAAGCATTTTAATAAAATGTGTCATCCTCCAACCTGGATTAACAACACCGGTGCAACTGGCTGTGAGATAAGTGCTCAAGAACTGTATGCAAAGTACAACACCAAAAATTATATGTCGAAAATGACTTCACATTCGTTAAATGGGTGTCACCAAAATCGAGACTCAGACAAAAGAGGGGGATGAGGAAATACTATTAATGTGCACTTGCTTTGCATTCAGAATTAATCTAAAGTTTTCCAAATACAAGCAGTATTTTATAATATGCACTTTTCATATACATTTTACTAGGTTATTTTTTTCCCAAAGGTTCAGAATGAGAATGAACTGAATCCCTGTCAGTTCCCAAAGAATTATATTTACCAAAAATGAGGGAAAAAAAACATCAACATGTAAACAGACCAGTGCATTTTTATAGTGCATTATTATAAAACTGAACTTGCAGTCTTTTAATATCTATAAAAATCTATTCTTTACACACACACACACACACACACACACACACACACACACACACACACACTGTAAGAGCAAATATGGAGACTATGAAGGAATATATACTTTGCATCGCACAAATGTGTAGGTGAACTTCTCTCACCAGTTTTACTGAGTTTGTCTCTTTATGTTCAAGGCTCTTCCTTTTCTGTCGGAATATGCTTCGTTTTAAGTGTGGATGAGTGTGGATTTTGTTAGTGTGAACATGTGCTTTAAACAGGAGCAGACAGAGACTGCCAGGGGAAAAAGGGAAACTTCAATGAGAATGAATGCAATATGTGAATTCAGGTGTCTCATTGATCCATCAGGGCCTCAGAGCTTATTCAGCATCTCAATTTACCACCACCTCTCCACACAAGACCACATCAATGTCAACCCCTCCTGTCTTTCCTCTCCTCCATTCTGCTTCTTTGCTCCTAGGCTTTCAGTTACTCGGTGAAGCCAGCCTCTCTTTCACCTACTCACTGGTTTTGATTGTCCAAGAAAAAAAAATCAACTGTACTATGAATGAACTGGAGAGCAGACCGAAGATACTCTGCCATAGCCCATCAAGTACTTGAAAGGTGTTTAACATCATTTCTCTGGTTTCTACTGTTTAAACAGACATGAATACAAATTAAATGAATTAAATACATAAAAAGAGACAGGTGTGCTGCCTGTAGATCTGGATATTTAACAAGCCTCTGCGGATCATTTATGAACCTACCTGTTGCCTGACCTTAGTTGCGTGTTTGTGCACTAGGTATTAGCATGCTCTACGTGTCAGTCAGTAATGCTTTACTGCATCTAAATACTGTCTAGATTTACTCTCTGCCTGTTGAAAACAGCATTCATAATACACACTACATCATTAAATGCTATCAATATCACAAGTAAGCACAAGAGCTCTAATGAAATGTTCTAATCAACCCAGATTTGGTGACACAGTATTTAATTTACAAGTCTCCACCTAAAGTATTTGCAATCTTCACTGACTTGTTAACAGTTAATTTTATTAATTTTCATCTCATAAATTTATATTTATAATAGAAACATTGTAAGGCTAAGGTTCAGTGAATTCAATTACATGGGTTGGTTTTTGGATATTTTTCATTAGCAATTCATAATTCATTAATTTTCAGGTACTCAGCTGCTCAACAACAGTCTTCTGACTGGCGTCGTGTTCATATGCACAACTGATCAACTGCGGCGTAAAGGAAAACCGTTCACTTCAGCAGCCTTTATGTGACAGACGGCGTCAGACACGAGCCCAGTGTGGCAGTTTGTGCTTGCATGCCTGTGTGGGTAATACTCGTGTCCCAGTGTGGGTGTGTTATTGACAGCTGTCACCTTCTCCATGAGCTGGCGAAGCTGCCTGCTGCGTGGGTCGCGGTTACACATGTTCTGGGCTGGTGCAACGACGGTACAGATACACTTCCCATCTGCGTCCTGCGCTGAACTGTAGATCTCCCAGCCCTCCTCTGGTCTTGGGTATAGAGCCTGCAGAAATACAGAGACACATATATCTTAGAGGCATAAAATAAAAAATTAAATATGGTTGTTTCTGTCTGCAGTTGTTTATCTGTGCTACTACCAAATTGGCTTTTCAAAATGCATGAGGGCAGACAAGATATTTTATTCTGCCAGCACGCATCAACGGTAATCTGAAAAGTGTTCCACCCTTATAAAATGTGTCTAAGCCAATAAATTTATCTAATACTTAAAAGTGTTACATAAAGCCTTTTGAAGAAAAAAAAAAGACTCTTTTATACATCCCATATCATGATTGGTTGAGCCTATTCTGTCACCATAAATTAGCTGCAAAGTCATAATTTCTCTATTGCATTACTTTTTTCTTTGTGACTCTTTCAGAAATAAATCCTCTCCTAAGAAAATTAATGACAATTGCTCACCCCAACTATTCAAAACCATTTGCAGTTTAATTTCAGTTTTAACTGGAGATGAAGAGACTGACAGAGCTGGTAGTCACAGTAGTAAAAGACACCAGCAGGGAGAGATAGAGGATAGAAGAGTCATCTAGAAGATAATGGAGAGGGTGAAAGCTGAAATGGGTGTCGATTAAGATAAGACAAGACAGACTGGTGGAAAATACACAAAGGGATGGAGAACACAGTGACATAACAAAGACAGAGCAAGAATTTTGTGGAGGATGAAGAAAGACAAAGATAAATTGGTGGAAAATGGGGATTTCAAAGAAAAGAGGAAGGAAAAGGGCTTAGAACAGGCTGTACAAAAGCAGAGCATCTAATAAGTTTGGACACAGAAAGGAAATGGAGCTGTTCACGATCGATAATGCAGCCCCTTACCAGTGAAGGAGGGGAGAGGCTAAAAGGATGGATGTCTCTCTCTCTGTCTAATCCAATCAAAAGCAGCGCTGTGCGCTTGCAAACACACATGTATGCATTACACAATTTACGCAAAGGTTTTTTCTATTCTGATTTGCTCATTTACATTGCATCTAGCATAGCCAGCATATGACGCAAGCTGTAATAAGACAAGAAAGTGCCTTTTTGGAGATGCAATTAAGACCCATCCATATAAGAGGTCGGAAAAGTCTAGAAATAAAATGTTATGTCTCAGCTCTGTGCCTCTCTCCTGCTTTCCTCTGAGCAGTGTTATGCTGTGATCTCGTCTCCTTGGGTCGGGGGATCAGATTAAAATGTCTTGGGGGACAGGGGGACTGTGTGATTGGAGTGTAAAGTAGCAACCACCCTGCGAGCCAATGTGCTCACTGTCACATCTTGTCATTCCTGCCAATCCCTTGGCACTCCACCCCCTCTCCACTCTTTCTGCTCCCTCTTTCACTGCCTTCTTCTTCCCTTGCAGTTGCAGAAAGAGCGTATCTTCAATCTGACTTACTTTAAATCGAGGGATGGCAAACACACTATAGCTATGTGAGAGACTTAAATATCCTGTGCCAATAGCAACAATAAAGTTCTACGCGTAATTCTTATCACATTTTCTCTTTTTCATTATATTCAATGCATATTAAATAGACTCATGAATTATTTATATGACTGCATCTAAATTTAATTAAGCTAAGTAAGGAGAAATATTCTGTTCATATAGTATTAAAGAGATATATTAGCTATATTTCAGGATGACTGAATTTCTACTTTCCATGTGAAAGACTCACCGTGGAACGTATTGGCACGCTGGTTAAAATATCTTTACAGTATTATCAGTTTTGCTGCATATTTTCCAGTCCCTGCAGTGACTTGCACTTTTTTTCTGTCACTCAGTGCCTTTCTTATCATTAGTCTTTCTTCTCCGAGGCAATCGACCATCAAAAGTCTGTAATATGGTGATACAGAGGCACAATAGCCAAAGCCAGAGTTAAGACAAAAGAGCCAGTCGCCACAGCAGAACCTTTCAGCTTTGTCTGATGGTCTGTTTCATTCTGCCATTGCCTTGGCATGAGGGAGTTTGTATGTATGTGTGTGGGTGTGGGTGTGTTTGGTGGGGGTGCATCTTTTTCAGCATCTACTTCCCTGCTCATAATGTCTATGTATATCAGTATGAGTATGCTTCAACATACAGTACTTACATAAATTCTTGTGGAATAATACATACATTGTGGGATGACACTGAAATGCAACTACACATCTGATCCACACCCTCAAGATGCTATGTTTGGAAATTCCTGCAACTGTAATGCATGTTTACTTCAGAACTATAGAGTCTATGTAATGGCTGATATAATACTGTGAATGTGTGTAAAATACTAGAATGTGAAGTCACAGCTGGTTACAAGCACTTACATTAAAACTGGTACCCTGCAGTGTTAACAGGTGGAGGTTTTCTAGATACAAACTGCAAAATCTACTTAAGCTGCTAATTCTCAAGGTGACTGCAGTCTTCGGTAAAATAACTGCATATCCACACACCTAGGGCTTGTCCGCTTATGCACGAGATATTCACTTTGGGCTTAGCTAGATTTTTACCAGTGGATGCAGAAGTGTGCATTAATTTTTCATATTGCTATCAGCTTCAAAGGGAGCCACGGTCGGTGTCGCACCAACTTTTTTTTTCTTTCCCAAATGAAATCTTACGTAGCGGGCAGTAGAAATTCAGCAAAATAAAACCAGAGGCACGTTGGGTTTCGTCAGAAAGGGCATCTACTGTAAAAACTTTGCCAAATAAAACATGTGGAGCTACTTGCTGTGGAGCTACTTGCTGTGGAGCTACTTGCTGTGGCGACCCCTTGCGAGTAAGGGAGCAGCTGAAAGTAGCTTCTTTTAATATCAGAGCCATGTCAGCCTATTATCATGCTTTCTTCATTTTCCAACATGTTTAATATCACGCTGTGCTCTTCCTGTGCTTTTCCAAGCCAGAGAGCTTTCACAGCAACCAATCTTCTCTTCTGTTCATTAAAGTTTCATAAATGCTGAGCTGAAATTAAGAGCTTATTTGAATCACTTCCAGTTTCATCACCACCCACCTATCCGTTCAGCACTAACTTCACCGTTCTCATCACAGTGGCAGTTTAGGGAGCAGGAGAGAAAAGGTAATTCTTAAATGCAAATGTGCGTTGTACCTATATGCTTTGTGCCCAGATGGATCTATATATCAGAGCTAGTGATCTCTCACATTGAACATAGTGTCATAAACTTAAATGTGTTTTGGAAGGTATTAATATGATATTAATATGAGGCATCTCTACAGAATGGCTCATTGACATTGGTTCATTTAAGACAGTCAAAACTATGTAGCCTAGCAAACATCTCATTAGTAATGAAAAGGCTAATTTCTCAATATCTTCCTTTATCCGTAATTATGTTCAAGATATGCAGAGTGAAATCGAGTGTGAGTAATGTTTGCATACTGTATGCAGCTCGTGTATTAGTTTGCTACACTTGAGTAGTGACGATAACATAACCCGAGCTGTCACCGTGCTATCAGTGCGGCTAGCTGGAGTACCTAAGGTTTAAAGGATGATCCTTTTCTCCCAGACACAGATGGTGGTTTTAGCAGAGGGGAGGCGTTTAGCTCCCTGTACCAGAAATTTATCCATTAGATGTATGGGATGAAATAAAATGTGTAATGGACAGGTTTGAAACTGTAACATGGCTGCCATGTAAAAGCCCATTAATGGCGAAGACAGCAGCAATGAAAACAACAGGAAACCACAAAGGGTTGGCGAAATTAAAAATCAATTGGGTTTGCTCACTAAAATGAAAATTACTCGTTAATATTTCTGGATTTCCCACTTTGTGCCAACTCAGAGTCTCCTCCATTTCCATGACCTCATATCAGACAGCCTGGATGCATGACGTCCCATCACCATCAGCTGCAAACATATCTTCAAACCACAAACTCCCATCCTCCCAAGGGAAAACTGATTAAAGGAGGAACTGCTTACTTTCATAAGCAGAAAAGGAGAAGTTGTGCTTTCAGAAAGGCTGACGGAGAAGAGAGAAGTGGCTCTAATTACCTCTAGCTTGGTTTAAACGGTATCCAGTTACAATGCTGATTGACAACTTTAGGGGAATCTGTGCTGAGATAGGTGAAGATTAGATGCTTCTCCACTGTTTCCTGCTGCAGAGAAATCAGAGCTGATTCCACCAAAAAAACTTACTAAGTTAAACCATTATCTGAGTGATTCTCTGTAGCACAAAGAAACTAAGACTGCTTGGTTTTGTTAATGATTAGCAAAGTTTAGAGATATTATCCAATTAGACATTTGAGCTGGTGGTATCACTGCTGATTTGCAGGATGGACTTCCTCTGGCGTTTCATTAAACCAACCCTGGAGCTTGCTGCTGTAAAGCCAGAGTTAAATGAGATCATAAATCTACAGCTCCCTACTTTATGAGCATGACGGGAAGTCTATTATAACTTTCATAAGCAGCAGGCAGAAGGGGCAAACAGGCAGAGGCAGGCACAAGTTGTGAGATGTGGAAGAGAGCTGACCACTACACTGTGAACTGTCAACACGGCTGAGAAATTGCAACACTACCGAGGATGGACAGGTTAAGAAGAGGAGGAGAGGTCGAGCTGTACACGGAGAAAGACAGAAGACATAGAAGAAGATAAAATCTAGACGTCATCGAGAAGAGGAATTCTTATTCAGGAAATAAAATATGAAGTTCTACCTAAATAATCTTTTTCTTTCCTTCATTGTCATCCAGCAGTGCCAGCTTTCATAAAAAATCCTTTACTTTCCTTTCCTCTCTGTCAGCAGAATGATGCTTTATGCCAGGCATTAACATCCATCAGTACTTGTCTCCAAAAAACTAGACATCTGTCTCTGTTGCACAGTGTTCGATTTTATCTCTATTATACCCAAACAATCGGTTCTCATTTTTCAGATTTGCCAGTTATTGCTATAATTGCGTGTATATAGATAAACATGCAAATGCACACGTTCACTCTTCAAATGAACAATCAGTAAATCCCTAATGCCAAAGCCAGCTGCTGGGCTTTAAAATAATAAAGACACCAAGTGAAGTCCCTGGCCTCCTCTCCTCCCAAGAAAAGTGATTAACACAATCAGCTCAGCATGGTTGCCAGTCAATAATATGAATCATAAAGTCATCATGGCCCTGTCCCTACTGCCTCATTTTGGCTCCCTACTGCCTTTCTCTCCGTCTTTCTCCATCACCCTCATGACTGCCACCTTTCTCAGTGGCGTCCTGCTCGCTTTCCATCTGCACCCAACTTGTTCCAATCCACCTCACACTGGAGTGACAGTGCGGGTGGGCATATGCATCAAGTGTTTTTTGAAG